CTTTGCATTCTTAGGGCAGAAACATCTATGCAATGTGATAGAAATCTGTGTTTCTGTTTCGGGAATCTCCTTCCTGGGTCTTTGTTAAATGATGTTAACATTGATTTACGTCCTCAAATGCTAAGATGGTTGACGATGCAGCCGTGCAACTGCCACGAGTGTCATATTTACATCAGTTGTGATGGAAGTGCATAATTGTGACATTTGCGATGACAGCCGTCCCCATTTTGTCATCCTCGTAATTTGTTACAGACTCAGCTGCCATAAATTGCAGCCATGGGAGAGTTTAATCCCCATATCTTTTGCGTGGTCCTTCCGGGAAACTCCCGACTTGTCTGCTGGATCACAGTTGCCCTGTCGCGAGTTGGGCAGCAAATAAAACACAGGAGTAAAATTGGATTTGATGGAAGCACAGAAAGATCAGCTCTCCTTGACCCGATACTAATCAATACGTTGGTCTAACGGAGAAATGAAGTTTCAGGAAGATTGTGGAACGGTGCAATGCTGGAGGAGTTGTCTTAAAGGGAAGAAAACTATATTTTAGTCGTCAAACAGGCCTCTTGGATTTGAAATAAAGTCCGAGTAACTGATAAGTAGGATTCCATGGCCAGAGAAAATCAGGGGAAAAGGAATTCCTAAAGAAGGAGACCCCAGAAACAGGGTTTCCTGCTTCAAAGGGGGGTTGGACTAGAAGACCTCCGAGATCCCCTTTCGGCTCTGTTCTTCGGTACGCGGAATAATTCCAAGCGGTCAATTGAGAAGAACAAAAGTGTGGAGACCAGAAACCAATATAGGCAGGCCTCGACTTACGACCACAATGGAGCCCAGAATCTCTGCTGCTAAGCGAGACAGGGGTGAAGTGACCTTTGTCCCGTTTAACGACCTTTCTTGCCACATATGTTAGGTGAATCGCTGCAGCGGTTAACTTAGTCACCCAGTTGTTAAGTGAATCTGGCTTCCCCATTGACTCGTGACCCTGCAGCCATCATAAGTACATGTCAGTTGCCAGTTGTCTAAATTTTGATCACCTGAGCCTGCAATGGTGCCTAACGGGAAAAATGGTCATAAGTCACTTTTTTTCAGAGTCATTGTAACTTTGAATGGTCACTAAACGAATGCTTGTAAGGCGAGGAGTACCTGTATGGCTACACAACAAGCTTAGGGAAGACCTTAAACAAACAAACAAAAGCACAGATAGAAAAAAGGCGTTGAGACTCTAGAAAGAGTGCAGAGAAGAGCAGGAGGAAACGCTGCGGCGTTTGGCGCAGCCACGCGCAGCCAGTCAGGGCTCCTCCCTGCAACCGGAGCCCGGCGGAGACACTCGGCTTCAGGCGCTCCTGTCACCGTCTTCCCTTCGCCTTCGAAGGCAAAGCCAATTCTTTTAAAAATGACGCCCTACTACCGGTATGACAAAGCCTCCTCTGCCCAAGTGGGCAACCCAACCCCACGTCTGGAGGTGAATCTCCCAGGGCCGCAGTGCAGGATCGGTCCACCTCGGGAGAAGTGTCCAGCCGCCATCCCTGCCTGGCACTGGGCAGAGCGCGAAGAGCTTTGCCTGGGGCGCCCAGTGCAGCTGACAGGTGGCCCCTCCTGCCCGGCAGCCGAGCTCTCGCCAAGACAGCGAGTGCCTCCCCGCCGGGCCCTCCACTCATCCCGCCAGGACCGTGCCAGAGCCATGAGGGCTGGGCAGAGCCAGAAAAGCGAGCCACGGGTGCGCGTCCATCTGCCAAGCAAAAGAGCCAGGCTGACCCAAGCTTGGCTTACTTCCCAAGTCCCTCCAGCCTGAACCTGAAGGGGCTACTGGGAGAGGCTGCCCGAGGCAGTGATAGCACCCACCCATCCGTGGACAGAGAGGCAAGGCAACGGCCTGCGACGCATCCTCGTCCGGGCTGAGCCCTGCCGATTGAGCGCCTCTGCCTGATGCCCGTGCCGCTGCAGCGTTTGGAGCTGCCAGCGCATTTGGAGATGCATGGGGATGGGGACGGGCTGGGTGAGGGGTGGAAGGGATGGATGGCTTTGGGCTCTCTCTGTCAGATCCGCTGGCCAGGGAAGCAGCGTTTCTGTCACCTCGCCTCCCTGCCCGGCGCCAGGGATGGTGGCTGGGTGCTTCTCCCTGGGTAGGCCAATCCTGTGCTGCGGCCCCAGGAGATTCGCCTCCCCATGTGGGGTTGGGCTGCCCTCTCGGGCAGGGGAGGCTTTGTCGTACCGGTAGTAGGGCGTCATTTTTAAAAGAATTGGCTTTGCCTTCGAAGGCGAAGGGAAGACGGTGACAGGAGCGCCTGAAGCCGAGTGTCTCCGCCGGGCTCTGGTTGCAAGGAGGAACCCTGACTGGCTGCGCATGGCTGCGCCAAATGCCATGGCATTGCTCTAAACACCGCGGCGGCATGAGGAGAAGGGAAAGCAACAGTGGTGGAAGGTCTCCTGATATGAAGTGCCCCACCAATGCCAAAGTCAACGCAGGCAGCACCATAACCGGGTATGCAACAAAAGTACTTCCTAACGGCAAGCCCCCCCTGCCATTCCCCCCCTTTTTTGCATGCTTAATATAGTCCTTAATTTGGGGGGAGGGGCTTAATTTGATTATATGCCTATAAAACATGCTGGGACTTCCTATTGGGGGAGGCCGTCTTGTTGGAGAAACACAGTAGATTGATGGCTTGGAAGAGGGAGGGCCGTGGTCTTCTGATCCTGTCCCTCGGGTTGCTCATGGAGATGCTCCCAAGGGGGGCCGGTGCCCCCCTGAGGGCTGAGGCCAGGCGAGAGTGGCAGGGGGTGGGATGAGCCCACTGGATGGCAGGTGAGCAGGTTGGAGGTTGCAACTCATGAATCCTGCTGACAGGAAGAGGTGGAAGCGGTGACGGGACCAGGAAGCACAAAGGTAATTTGGTCTCCTTCGTGGTTGCCTTTGTGTTGACCAACCAGTTGGAGAAGCTCTTGGAAGTCATCAAGAATTGGCTTCTGGACAAGGTGTAATCCCTTCCTGTTGACTCCCAGCTTGATTGAAGGAGGAAGTGGGCAATCTTCCATGCCGGATGCAGCCATCGGCTCTGGCAAAGCCCTGGATCCTTGAGGATGGGGTGTTTTCCCAGAGAAGGAGGGCTGAAGGTGCTTCTAGAGGTCCTCTCCCTCTAGAAGAAGGACTCTGATGGGCCGCCTGGCTTTCTTTATCTGCCCTGAACCAGTTGGCCTGTCAGTCAAGGGGTCCTCTGGCTGCCTTTTCTGACCTCCAAGCCAACACCGCGCATGGTGCGATGCCAGGGTTGAGGTACAGGTCCACCTGGCTTGGACACCCCCCCCCCCCCGTGCTTTGCCTGCACCTCACCTCCAGCCCAGATGGCTGCCCACACATGGGAGCCTCCCAGAGACAACTCCTCCTCCTCCTCCACATTCAGGGAACCTGTCTGGGCAGGGCTTAGTGGGCAATCCACACAGCGGCTGGGAGAGGCTCCTGTCAGAGCCATCGGCATCCAGGTAGCCCCACCTGTCAGGCTCTTTAAATCCAGCCCAGCTGGGATCTGCGGCTCAGACGCAGGAGCAGCAGCACCATGAAGGCCCAGGGGATCCTCCTAGCTCTGGCTCTGCTTGCCCTGGGTGCCCAGGGGGCCTCCTTGACCAGCAAAGAGGACCAAGGTGAGTGCAGGCAGGCAGCCAACGGGAGGCCCTTGTCTCCAAGCCTTGTCTCCAAACCTGCGTGTACACACCCACACCCCAGTGCACTGATTCTGGCTGCCTCTCTTTCAGCAGGCCGAAACGGCTTTGTAGGTGGGTTTCCATGCCCCCAGGGGCTCAGGACACCTGTAGAACAGCGGGTACAGCCTTGGAACCTCCCCTGGTTCTTATCCGGGGGTGGGTTTCAAAATTTTTAGCAACGGGTTCTCTGCCTGGTTGCTGGAAAGGTGTGGCCAGGGTGTGTGTGGCCTAGTTGGCCTCTTGCACCACGGTGGTGGGGTGCGTTTTTTGCCCTCCCCGGGCTCCGGAGGCTCTCTGGAAACTGGAAACGGCCCATTTTTCACCCTCCCTGAGCTTCCGTGCGTGCCCTGCACTTCCCTGCCTCCCAAATGGGCCTCATGGGGACTCCTGGGAGGGGAGGGGCCGGGTGGGCAGGGCCAACCAGGCGTGGGATTTGAGGGGTTCTCCGAACTGCACAGAATCTTATTTCGGGGCTCTCCTGAACCCCAGCGAACCCCCAGCAGCCCAGCCCTGATCTTACCTGCTGTGCCCAGAGCTGGCTACATGGTGACTGAGCCCCTCGTAGGGGTTCCCGGGTACCCCCAATCCCTGAGAGCTGAAAGGTCCCCTTTTCCCTGGGGTGGATACTGGAGGCCATCTGGAATGGAAGAATCGGCCTTTGGATGGGCCCAGGGGTGGGATATGCCAGGGTTAATTATCGGTTCAGTGATTTACGATGGCTGTATCGCGCACCTGTAAATCATCATCAGCCTGGTGCCTGGACAGCTGAGCAGCGCTGCGTGCAGAGAAGCAGCCTTTGAAACAGCCCTCTTTTCTTGCTTTTTAAACTACAGCTGTGCCTCGTACAGCAGCTGAAGTTGAAAAATCAGGAAATAAAGGTCAGGTAAGAGCCCAGGTGGGCAGGTGGGCAAAAACATCAGCAGACATAGAACCGGTTCTATGTCTGCTGCTCTTCAGAGCTACCGGTTCTACAGAGGTGGACAAAACTGGTAGAAACCCACCCCTGGATGGGCCTCTTTTTTCAAAGGGGGCCCTCAGGGTGTGGTCAAAACTTCAGGGGGGCAGACACAATGAAGGCGCATTGAAAGCGGAGCCTGTTTTGTGTTTGTGTGTGTAATTTTTTGACTAAACCTCAATTCTTTCTCTTCACCCTGGACTGGAGTTGATTATGGTGGGCAGAGATTATTTGTCTATTTTTGTGGACATTGTTCATTCCAGCAATACCACATGCTACTCAAGGATGCAGTCCTTGGAAAAGAGATAGATAGTTGATAGGTAAGTAGGTAGGTTGGTAGCTAGCTAGCTAGATATAGATAGCTAGATATAGAAGAGATAGCTAGACAGCCAGCCAGATAGACAGCCAGATAAACAGAGATAATATATGTGATAGAGATAATAGACAGATACAGATAGGCAAATGGGTGAATGTATAGACAATAGAGATAGATAGATAGCTAACTAGATAATAGAGAGACAGACAATAGAGAGACAGACAGTCAGGGATAGATAGTAATAAAAGATATAGATATGGAGAGAGATGGAGAGAGAGGGAGGGAGAGAGAGATATTTTATATAATATATTTAGAAACTGCCCATCTTCCTCATACAGCAACTCTGGTTGCCCTGTGGAATCCTGACCTTCTTCTGGGGTTCACGAGTGGGAGGTTCCCCTCCTTCCCTACCTTCTTTATTCTTTCCCACCAGTCCTATGAGGTAGCTTAAGACTTGGCGGAGGGGGGTTGAAACCCAGGACCTCCAAGAACCTTTCTGGAGACCCCCAGGAGCTTTCACCCAAATATTCAGGTGCCCATATCAAAGTTTAGGACAGGCTCCGTATTCAGCGAATTGTGTAACTGCTAACAATTGACAAAGACTTGATGGTACAACATCCACCCACCCACCTATACGTTCAGTCACCAAATGATAAATGAATCATCAATCCACAAGTCCATCAACCCTTCAACCCATCAACCCATCAATTCATCAACCCGTTAATCCATCAACCCATAATCCATTGACCCATCAAT